CAATTCAAAAAAGTCTTCCTCTTGTTCTGCTCATGACAGCATTGTTCAAATCATAGGCAAAATGCAATTCAAAAAGGTCTTCCTCTTGTTCTGCTCATGACAGCATTGTTCAAATCATAGGCAAAATGCAATTCTATTTCCCCAAGTAAGAAATATATTTTGAGCCCACAGTGATTTGTGCTGACAAGTAAATGGATAGGAGTTATTCACTATTTCTAGAGACAGTGTCAGATATTCACAGCTACCTAATATGACATTGTTATAGAATACGGGATCCCAGGGCTTGTTCAAGAGTCTCATAATCCTTTCAGAAACTATGATACAAGGGAGGGGCACTCTATTACATCTCAATTTTCATAAGATAGTATTCATACAAAATATAAATTTTATAGTAACCAAATTATGTACAATAATGCTTAATATGTAATATAGGTGAACAATTCAACTAGAAAAATTGAAAATAAATGCAACGTATCTGTTGTAACCTAGAAAGGGTTACTGAATGAGGAATAACCAAAATGGAGGTCGAAAATGAAATAGTAATTGTTATAACATCAACAAAATACAATACCCGCCAGTGGCGTGAAGTGGATAAACCACTGCTAGTGGTGGACTACTTAGACAGCATGTTACCCCACTTACAGTAGTGTCCAGTATCCTTTGGAACATATCTATTAGCATTCATAGGAATGGTATATAACAGTATCTAAATAGAAATTAGAGACATGTCATAATAAATCATTCCATATTAAATAAATCAACAATGTTTTGCAGCAATTTTTAACCTGAACTTGAGATTTTTTTTGTTAAAAAGTTGAATAGTTCTAACGCATTAAACATTATGGATAATAATTAGTGAATTTTATATATAGTGTTTGTTTGAGACTTAGCATGAACAAAACAAATTCATGGATTTGGACGGAAAAAAATTCTTCAGAATGCTGTCAAAATCTGCAAGAAAATTCTCATCTTTTAATAATCAGTTGTGCTTAGTTTAATTTGCAATATAGGTAGAAAAAAAGCAAATGTTAATAGGGAAGGTCACAAAGCACTGCCCAGGACCCTCAATCAGGCTTCCACCCTCCCCAATTGAGCAGTTTAGGGTAGTACACACTCACCTACATAATCCTAACTTAGATGAGACATTGCAATATCAGTAGGTCACTCTCTAAAAGAATTAAGTAATATCTATTCATAATTTCAGATCACCAATGAAAAATGACAGATGAAAATGTTTTATTTATGATAATATTAGCCATTTCCCTACAAGGAAACATTTGACATTCAATGACTGAAAATTTTGGTTGAAGATCTTTCTCTTAAAATAATTTTTCAGGATAATAGGCTCCTCAAATGCAGTAGTTTTTATCACCCTTTCCAGTATTGATGGGGGTTTCCTTCTTAACCTTTTATTTAAAGTAGTGAGGAACATCAACATCTTATGTTATCAGTTTTTCTTCAAGTTACAAATGCTATCCATTTTAATTGTTGCTGCTGTTGATAGTCCTCAAGTGATGTGGTTTCCATTATTATTCATCAATTGAATGACAGTCCACAATGTTCAAAGTAGGATGGTATTCATCAAGATCTACATTTGCTCAAAGCCCTTTTTTAACCATTGATCTTAGAAAGTAGTTATATACAACTGTCAGGTCAGATAGGGTTTGACACCATGCATGGTATCCATATAAAAGTCTTTATGTGATAAGGCTATTTTAGAAGGTTACTAGAGTTTTCAGGTTAATGTTTTAGTTTTGTAGCATTTTGCAGTGTTGAGCAAAACTACCTCTGGTACAGCATATCCTATGTTCAGTTTCCATTTCTCCTGGATTAAATTTGTTATAACTGATCCATACACCAACATGTATTTGAAGTGTTTAGTATTTATGGGTAGCATATACTTTTTACAATAAAAACATGGTATATAAATTAATATTTAAATGTATACAAAAAAAATTAAAGTAACAAGTTACTAGTTTCATTTATTCAAATGACCTTCACTTGTCCTTTTGATGGGAAAAACACTTCAATGAATGTTGATTAATTGATATGAGTAGGTGGTCACTACATGCCAGTAGCTAATCTGGTGACCTGTTTTAACAAGTTATGCATTATGCTCTTATTTGAAGGCATTTACACAAGTCAGAGCAGAGGACTGCATGCTGGAAGCTTTGATGTTTAGTATTTCTTATGTTAATATAGGAAAAGAGAGTTTACGATTTCAAACTGAGGCAACCAATACGTCACTTCAATGCTCGTATTATTTATAGTTACAAATTATTAATTTCAACATTTATCTTTAACCAATAAAAACTACCTTCCGGAAATTTTACAGTTTTCAGTTATCTGAAGTTATTCAGTTCATATGCAACAATATATTCAAGAAAGAAAAAAAAAAAACAGACAACTAAAAAGGTGTTTTTTTTTTGTTTTTTTTGTTTTTTTTGTTATAATGTATCATGATTCAAAAATATACAAACGTTCAATAGATTCCAACATGTTACAGATGCTCAAGCAACACTGAAAACATCTGGGCTCCTCCCCCTAATATAATTGTTAACCAGCAGTTCTTGCAGATCATTCTTAGTGAGTCCAATACCCCTGGGTATACATATAGCCTTGGGTCCAAACTAAGCTAATAACAATACTGAAAATGAAACACTGTCAACAAGATTTTTTTTTTTAATTAGGACAAGATATAAAAGATTTTTTCTATTTTCATGAAATGTTTCTTTGCTTTTTGTTTTTTTATTATCCTGAAGCAAATTTGAAGTATGCCTCTTAATCTGGTTAAATTGTGTAAGGAAAAAGAGAAATCTGACACTATTAAATCAGCAAATAATTTTTAAAAATTTATTTTTATTTATGACTGTTTGCACTTTTCTCTAGCAAGTAACTTTTAATGATAAAATGTGCTCAGTAGAACAAGTGAAAGAAAATAACTCTTTAGAACCAATAGGTAAATAGTAATGGTAATATTAGCCTTTTCCTTATAAAGAAACATTTGTCATTCATTGACTGAGCTGCCAGTACTGCTTTTAGGTTTAAACTTATACTTATAAAAATCTTTATCCTAAAACAATATTTCAGCAAAATAGGTTTCTCAATGTCAGTAGTTGCTATTGCTTTTTCTAGGATTGCTGTGGGTTTCCTTCCTAACCTTTTATGTGGAATATCAACATCTTGATTATGTCATCATTTTCTCTTTGAATTAAATGTAATATCCATTTTAGTTGTTGCTGCTGTTGACAGTCCTCAAGTGATGTGGTTTCAAGCTATCTAGTACAGTTCTTTGTGATTCTGTAGTGCCAGTTCACAATATTCAAAGAAGGATGAGCTTCAAGACCAATAGGCTTCACTTGGTCAAAGTTATTTTTAACCATTGATCTTAGAAAATGGTTGTATACAGCTGGCAGTTTAGATATTTCTGAATGGGACATCCATATTAAAAGTCTCAGTCTGATAGGGCTATTTAAGAACAGGACTCTAGTTTTCAGGGTAATGTTTTGGTTTTGCAGCAATTTGTGGTATTGGGTGAAATTACCTCCAACACAACCTATTCTATGTTTAATTTCTTTATCCCCTATACTAAATTTGTTGTAACTGATCCATATACCAAGGTACTTGAAGTGTTTAGTATTTATTACTTACACACCCTGAATTTTTATGATGGATTCAGGGTACATGCCATCACTGCTTTCATTCCAATTCCATAGTTTCTGTTTTGGAAGGGAGTGGGTTTAACTTTCCCTTTTTGACATTGTTCTGTTAACAGATGGTGGGGCAGGGATATTTCCCAAGAGAAGACATCTCTATAAAAGATTAACTTGGTTCATACACACTTATTAAACAGTTATCAAAGGTCTCCTTTCCCTGATTGAAATCTGTTTTGAAAAAGAAGGAGGACATTTTGAACAGCACATAAAATAATTAAATAGTAAATAAGATTTTCATGTGTAATTATACTTTTAATAAATAATCCCTGTGGTGCACAACTTTTGTCTTACACCATATATTAAGCACAGAAATATTTTCAATTATTTTTAATAACAAATTTTATGAAAATAAATTAAACCATTATGTTATTATTTTTTTTTCCAATAGGTGTCAGTTTTACAAGTCTAAGGTTAGTCCTATAAAGCAGCTCAGTAGCAAACTATTGTAAACCCGCTAGTTTCAAATATAGCCAGTTTTCTGGTAATTCCAGCATTCTGAAAGCCATATAAATGGTCTGATAGTGTAGGAGCATAGTGTTGTTAATATCTGAACTGTTATAGGTCAAAAGCTGCTTTATTTGAAGAGTAATGTCATTTATCATTAACTAAATTTATTTATTGACTTTAATTGTATTAAAATATAAGCCATTGCTAAATATGGAGTTCATTGTAAGGTTGGCTTTCTTGAATTAATCTGAATTTTGATGGCTAAATTTAAATCTATAGGATCTTAGATAGCTATACTTAAGTATATGAGAATCTAATTGATAATCAATAAAATGGTTCAATAAGATATGTCACATCTCTAATGAGATTCAAATTCATGCTCCCTAATTTATGCAAAATGTGTTTGAAAACCTGAGCCATTGAAGAATACAACATACATGACAATAAGGACATAAAATTACTGATTAATTGGCAGGTAGGTATTTTTGCTAGGCAGTTAATACAAACAATTAGATGCTGTGAGCTGATTTAACTAATAATTCAATTATGCTGAAATGTGTGTAAAATAAATTATATCATTAAATATGTGTAAAGATATTATGCTCTCATAAGTCCTATAATAGTCTAATTTAACAAGAGATTCAATATGCATATTACAATATTTTAGACAAACATCCTTAGGTTTGTCTTAATGTGACTATTATACAACTGAATAATTTCATTTCAAGATTTCATAAATCTTTGGAAAAGTTAAAGAAGAAAGAAAAATCTCATAAAAAATCCAATACTTGTTTAAAGTTTTATGTCTTGTAATATATAAAGCCAGATAATACATACCATTTCTGTTAATAACCCTGGTACAGTAAGACCCACAAATACACACCAGTTGGGGGATCCTGCTACTTCCCTGTAAATAAAAACAATTATCTTATAAGCTAAAAAAATAAACAAAAATCCATGTTTGATGAAATATTAAATTGAAGTGCCAAAAAATTAAAGATAGTAGTACATTTGATAGTTTCACCTTCCTTCACTTATAGACTCAGCTCAATGTTATATGTATGAGGTAATAGATAGGCAGTGTAGCTGTGGTAACCAGAAGATTGGAGAGGATTTAATATTATTGGCCATGGAATGATTGTTGGACCCAAAAAGATAGGGCACTATTTCCAAGGTGGTAACTACTCTAGATTTTTCTCAAGAAACAATAGCAAGTTTATACCAGGAATATGGAAATCCCAGACAGACATTAGCAGTATGTGAAAACTACAAGTACTCACAGTTGATGCAAGTGATTGTAGTCATTGATGCAAGTATTGTAGTCATGTGATGTAGTCATTGATCAACAAGGGTACCATGACTGACATCATGATATTGGTTCCTGCCCTTCATTTGGGACTAGAGAACATTGTCGTTGAAATGTGGAAGATTGGCATAATATCACCTAATCAAATATTTTAGGTTTCCAACTCTTTTTAGAAAACAGTAGAGTCCATGAAGGAGACCACAAGAGCTTATTGATACAGACTAACAGCAGGATATTATGCAAGATTCTAGTGGCTCTGTTGTGGTGTGGATGTGTCTTGTTGGAGTTTACAAAGGCCACATTCTTTTATGTACCAGGTCCTTTCAAAGAAAGGGTGAACATAGTTCTCCACAACTTACTGCCTTTTGCAGCTCAAATTTACATTTAACCATTTACTATCCTTCTTTGCCTCTGTTCTGCCATCAATTCACACAAAGTAGATTACTCATGGCTTCTCTTGCCATCAGTATGTCCTGTGTGTGTGTGAAATTTTCTAAGCCTATAAATTTCAAATGCCTCTGATTGTAAATACAAGCTTTCTTATTATTTCCATTTTCTTTAAGACTTCCTTATTGCTCACATGTTTTGTCCATGGCATTATTAGTATTTGCCCCATGAAATGGAACTCTTGTCAGGTGTGACATACACCTATCTTCTTACAGACTATTTTCACTCCTTTATGCTTATGTTGCCTAGCAAGATAATGCAAACCATCCCAGAACATTCAACTGGCTTCTAGGTATTCTGCTGACAAGCACAAGCTTGCCAGATTTAAATTCCATTGAACATGTATGGTATATGTCACAGAGGTCACTAAATTTCCTGCAGCCATAACCAACAAACAAAACTGAACATGCCGAGATAGATATGCCTACACAATGATTGCAGCACTTTGTAGATGCAATACCATGTTGTAGAGCTATTGAAGAAAAAGGGGAAGATACACATTATTAATTAGTAGCTGTTGCTAATTTCTTGGCACTTCAGATTATATCAAAAGCATTTACTGAAAGTTTAACATTTCATGGGTTTATGTTTATAAATACACATTTGAAAAAAATAATCCACCAGAACAAGAAAATTACACAGCATTTTTAAAAATGCTCTGTAATAATTTAAGAAAAAAAAAAAAAAACTTTCTTCACAAACCAGCCATATAATTTTATACTGTGTTAAAAAATAAGCAAACAACTTATTTAGAAAATATTTCAATTGAGGATCATATGATTGATTTTCTACAGCTTATCAACCCTTTTTATAGGTTATTTTAAGCCAGAAAATATTTTTAGATTCTAAGAATATTTTTAGTTTAAGATAATGGTTTAGTGATACAAGTCTTACTAATTAACCCATATCTGGAGGGAAGAGAGTAGATTCATGCCTTTCCCAAGGGTATTTGTGGTTAAGTGAATATAATGAAGCCAACAGTAATTAGAACTCGGCTCTCCAATTAAAAATTCCAAGCTATTATCGATTAACCCACACATCCAAGCTTACTGCATCTGATATTCATAAGCAGTCACCCATCTAGGTACTGACCAGTTGCTTAACTTCTTTGTGAACCAGTGTTTCAACATGATGTGGCTGTAAGACCCCAATTAAAGAGCAGTGTTATATACACCATGTCTTACCTTGATTTAACATTAGGAGTCTGACTCTAAAAACATGATTTACAATCAGTCAATTATGTGCCATATATGATACACACTTAGGCAATCATGTATATTTCAATACATGACTGATGAGGCAGATTCCCCCCACCCCCGCAGTAGGTTGCCATTTCTTTCTGCGATAGACCAGTTGCCATCCAAGTCCTGCTATTTACCCATAGCTGGGGAGGGAAGAGGAGGATTGTGAATGTAATGGATTTGACTGGAATTCAAACTCAGTCTCAGATTCCTCAATCCAAGCTGCTATCCATTATTCCAATAAATATTCTAAATAAAAACTTAGGAGAATTCTTTTTAATAATTTTCACCCCAATCAAGGCAATAAATGCACTAAGATGCAAGAGATTGAAAGAAGACAAGGAAAAGAAAACATAAAAGAGAAAACAATACAGGAACAAGAATTAAAAAAACAGAAGATAACAATTGATATTATATTTCAATGTTTGAAGATCAAAATTAACTCAAAAGCAAGAAACCAGAAGAAAGTTCCACAAGTGTGAAGTGCAAGAGAAGAAAATGTTAGCATAGAACTTAGTTATATATTTAGCCATTTCAACTGTAGAATGATGATACCTAGATGCCAATCTAGTACTGCACTTAAATTCGTAAAATCATGGTACCAATATGGAATGCTCATCAGAACAATTACTTGAAAATATTTATAGAAAAGGCACAATGGTAGTGAGGAAAGAGACTAATGCCTTGCAGATTCTTTGTATTTTATCAAGAATTTTTTCCTCTTCATTTGCAGACAGTACAGTGGAACTTCAATTTAACAGACTAATAGGCGGGGTTGTCCATTAAAGTTGTTTGTCCTTTAATTTCAAGCATGTTTTTGTGGACTAAAAACACCAGGTACAGTAAAAAATTATTGTAAATAAATGTAAATACAGTATATATGTATGTATATTTTATTTTAAGTTACTATATACCTTTAAAAAAAAAAAAAAAAAGTTTAAAAAGTTTTAAAGTTAAATCCAGAGTCTGTTGGTTCCTGGAGTGTTAATTCAAAGTTTTACTGTATATGCCTAAATTCATACAAAAAAATATCAATCCAAATTTAATCAGAATATTGTGATTTATACTAAAAAGTGTAACACAAAGATTGATCAGCTAGAAAAATTATACATTATAGTTAAATGTTTTGAAATCAAAGACTTAAAATTCAGAAGTATAATTTACTGAACTCGTTTTCATTCAAACATGCTCAAACCCGTCCAGTAAATATCAGCTCTCACTAGAAAAGTCTAGTATAATAGGGTAGACTGTTCTAGTGATACTGAAAAAATAATAAGAAGTTATATTGGGGACTAATTAAAGTTCACAGCCAATCCCACAACACAAATATGACCAAACAATCAATCTGATGTTTTTTTGGAATGGCATCTTGGTATGACCAAGATCTTTTCAGCAATCATCTGTGTGTATATATATATATATATATATATATATATATATATATATGAGAGAAAGAGAGAGAGCAGTATAGGTGTAGATTACACACACACACATATATATATATATATATATATATATATATATATATATATATATATATATATATATATACACAGATATATGCATGAAGAGAAAGATGTTAAAATATATACAAGTACTGAAAGTGTAAAATATAAGATATGATAAAAAATCAAAGGTCTTTATCTTTTTCATTTTGAGTAAATAAAAAAAAAATGATAAACAGTTTAATTATAGTATCTAAAAATGCCATAGGATACAAATTTCATGAATATGGAAAATACTTTAAAAACAGATTCCTATTAGATAAAAATGTTTATATAAGAAAAGAATTTCAACATTTGCCAGTTAACTTTTATATCAACTTGAATTAACAAAATAAAAAGAAAATTTAATTATTTTATTTACAACAGGAAGCAAATTATCTTTCCATTATGTTAAAATTTATTAAGCAAGTCAATGCTGGTAAAATTTTAAGGCTATACTGATATTCATATAATACATAAAACGTGAATTTCAGCATATAATTGTTTTTATTAGAAATATTTATAATTTATTTGACGATGTGAGATTTTATGCAGGTCTAGAGATGTTCATCACATTGTAAATAAATATCTATAATAATGTTATTTATATTTTTAATTTCAGATATAAATATTGCTATGGATAAGATCTTTGAGTGGTACAGGTCACCATCAAGAAGCTTCACACTAAAGAGTATATATTTATGCAAAAAAATGATCCTTCATATTCAATAAAGGTTTCAAAAACAGAAAATTAATGAAATATCCACTAACTCCTCTAGCTCTAATTGGAAATGTGTTGTCAATAGATATGAGAATGGAAAATAATATTCAAGCAAAAATCTTTGGCAACCAATAAAAACTGCAGCAAATAATGTTAAACTCAAAACAATAAAAAAAACAAAAAACAAAAGTTAAAATAAAAGAAAAACTGAAGTTATAGAATGTCAAAGAACCAATATTAACATATCAACATGACTGCACAGACAGTGCCAATTTTGCTGTTTTAGCCATTAAATGCTGCCACTTTGGTGGCTGCTGAGCAGACATACTATTCTGTTGGTATTACAGGTTTTGAATTTGGAGTTATTCTTCCCTGAGACAGGTTACCAATCAAGGCAAGAGATCCCAGTCTGCCCAGCTATTTGTGCATAAATGAACAACAATGTTGGCTAGAATTTGTACCTTGCACACTGATCCCATATTTCACACCAATAACCACTACACTACATACATATATTAACATGTAAAATTATAGAATAAATTATTTCAGTGATATGGGATACTGTGTTAATTAAATAAATGTTTTTTGTGGTTTATACCTTTTTGATTTATTTATTAAAAATGAAATACATTGCATTTGTTTGCATAATAAAATCAAACATCCCCAAAACAAGTCTCCAGTATTTATTTTTAATAAGGTCAAATATTC